AGTATGTCAGCGGACTTACAACGCTAGAAACCGAGTTTCGATACCCGTGGTGGGCAGAGCACAGATAGCCCATTGTGTAGTTTTGTGCATAAATTCAAACAAACAAACAAACTTCTATGTATGTATATACACGAGATACTGGTGTATCTATCGCAGCTATCAAGACGTGTAATCTAACAGAGCGTACTCCAGGTTTTTATATACACGTGATTATGTTTTACCTAATGTAGCTATTTAGACACGTAACGTAACTGCTATACAGTTGATTCTGGGGTACCTACTGCACTACTCCAGATACCTCAACTATCAGAACTGCTTTTAGGTGTATATATATATATTTTCACACGATTACGGTATACCTACTGTAGCTATCAAAACATGTAATCTAATCGAACTCATTCTAGATGTGTATATATACACGATATTGTGGTGTACCTACTGAAAACTGGTAATTTGGTAGAACTACTTTTAGGTGTAAATATACCCGAACTTCTGGTGTATTTACTGTAGCTCTCAAGACCGGTAATCTAATTAACTGTATAGTTTGAGATATTACATTCCGTTGTTTACTTACACATAACTTTAATATTATAATCCAACTCTGGAGACAAGTTATTTTATGACATAAGTGACATATAAAAACTTTTTTTGCAAATACATATTTATATATCACTTTAGTATCCTCACTCTCGCTATCAGTACAGATCGTTTTTATGAAATCAGTGATATAATAGTTGTCTACAAACATATATAAGAATTGGAAGGAACAGTACTTGAAAACGATTCACAATCCTTAGAAGTGACAGTAAAACTGAAGTCAGTTTTTATGCATTAAAAAAATAATTTGACTTACTCCAGCTTAAACTATCATATTACAGTGTCAACAGTTGTTCAAGTAGTTGATAAAATAAATAGTTTCTCGGCCGCTATTATGCCATATCTCATCCGGCCAAAAGAGCCCAAGCTGAGTGTAGCAGATATAGTGTGGTTGATATATTATGACGTTATTCTTCACTTTCACTCACAAAGTCTTACACGTTTCGAAATGAAATATCCTACATAAGGCATGTTTTATATGACGTCATGCTATGAATAAGACGATTTTTCTTTCTTCCTGTCAGAACCAATTATATGAAACGAATTGGAGTTCCACATTCTTTTCTTTGTTTTACAACTATAGCTATATATCCGTTTAGTAATAAAATAACTCTTCTCTTAGAAATTTCCAGAAACTCGACAGGAAATATAGGGTCACAGATGCTTGAAAGATTTTGTTTGTTTGTTTTAGCGCAAAGCTACACAATAAGCTATCCGAACTATTTCCACTACGTGAAATCGAACTTAGAAGTTAAGGGTTGTAAGTACGTAAATTATCGACGATCTTTTGGGGGACTGTTAGAAATTATTATTGGTTATTTAAAATAATAGTTACGGTTTCATAACAAGCGTCGATCTCTAATACACAAAAACTGCCTCATATTACTTGAAAATGTTTTATGTTAATAAGGAATAACGAGTTTTATTATTTACACATGACGTAAAACTAATAGAATTATGATGTTAAGTGTAGGGCCAAGGACCATTCGTTAAACATCAGGGTAAGCGAACAACTTTTCATTGTTCACCAGCTATGACAGCTCAATTGTCTCTGGATCGTACTTAAAGCAAAGCTTTTAATGTTTATAGAGAACAAGCGCAAAGAAAAATTTTAATATATTTACAGTCTACTAACATGTTTCCAATGTATATGTCAGAGTGCAAAAAATTTAGTTAGGCATAACTATAATATGCTTTGCTCTGTAAAAAGAGGCAGTATGTTGAGAAATCTTAAAGCTTTACTTAAAGTATTATTTTTGATTTTGTTCTCTAACTAATTTTTGAATCGCATCAAATGATCAAACTTTATTTCTTTCTCTTTTGGGATTATGAGAACAATGTTAATCTGTTTTTGAGGACTGATCAAGAAGAACTAGAGTAGAAACTCAGTACCGTGGAAATACAATTATGGAAATAGTTTACTGCAGAAATACAATTATGGCAACAGGATTCAACATGATGGAAACACAACAACAGCTACAGCTTAATGCTGTGGAGGTAAAACAAAGTAACAGGGTTTAAGTTTGTGAAAGCGCTAGCAAAAATTTGCAAACAATTTCCTGTAACCTAAAGAAAAACTCTCTACTTGAAATAATTTGCTGTCTTGCGCAGAAGGAGTGAAACTAGTTATAAAATATGGTTACTAAAACTTACGATTAGAATTTAAAATAAACTTTTAATACCATAGCTTAACCGCTCAGCAGTATTAATTATACAGTTAATTCTTGTTTGTCAATGAAAGTACTGACATACAAACAGATCGGCAGACGATTAGAGCAATGTTTCGTGAAAAAAATAAAATAGAGAAAATAAATGAATAAAATAATTGAAAAGAAAATGCTAAATACTGCTGCATTATTTCTTTTATATTAGGGAGGGGCCATTATAATTTATTTTCGTATTGTACTTATAGTTGTATTTATGCCAAAGCTACTAAGGATTTCTGACGCCGTCCCTAAATTGGAGCTGCTGACCAGAGGGAATACAGCCAGTTAGCACACCATACCACCCACCATCTCCACAAAGGTATTATCTGTTACTCTTTTAACTATTTAATGTGTGAGAAATATTTTTATGGTATCTCACGGATTCGAAGCCAGAATTCCACACAAGGCAAACTCACGCTCGGAAATCTTTACTGTGGACATGTCGATACATACGCAGCCTAAGACTAAATAATAAATAAGTAAAGTGGAATATTGAGGCTCTTAGTTTTAGTTATTTATTCTTGGTATTAGACTGTTAGTAAATTTTGTATTGAGAAAAATTTTTATACACAAAATAAAAGTTTAATAGATGAATGTGTCAATTAATTAGTGTTTCTACTTCAACTAACGTTATTTATTCGATACTATTTGACACTTCCATAGCTTAAGAATAATAGCATCGTTTCTTTTTTATCTTAGATTTTTAACGCAAGTTAAAAACAGAGTATTAAACATACAAATGTGAAAGAAAAAATTAATATCGCATAGAAGCAAGGTTTATCGAATATCACATATATGTTTACTTTGCTTACTTTCTTTAGTTTAATATTTATTTAGCAACATATTCCAGTTTAACAGGTATATTTCACACGCTGTTAACAAAACTAAATCTTGGGTTTAAACAAATACTTTTCTAAAGCTTCGAGAATAAGAAGAATGAGTTATATTCAACAATATCATCGACCATATCCATTTTGAGTTTTAATAGAAATGCCATTGTATAGCAACAAGTGATTGGTCGGTAACTGACTCCGCCTACTGAAAAACAAAACCGATTGTTAGAAGGGTAGGCTACATGTAGACACTTGGGCGGCAGGACAGAAAGTGCAACGGTTCACGTGCTCGATGGACTACAAACTCTGAGAAGCACGTGTATGGCAAGCATGGATGCTAAAGAGAATAGCTCAACGGATGCTGTAAAAAGTACCATGAAAGCCAGCCTGGAGGAGGGAGTCGTCCAGTCAAGTCTAGCGTCCACCGTGACTCTGCCAGCCCAGACCATTCCAAACCCGGAGAAAAGCCAAGACCAGAACGTCAGAGAAACATGGGACAAAAAAATAGAATTTCTACTAGCCGTGATCGGGTTCGCTGTGGACCTGGGAAATGTTTGGCGGTTCCCTTACATATGTTATCGAAATGGTGGAGGTAAGTTGTTAAAATATAAAGATGCTCAGTTAAATTGCTTAGATCTTAAAGAAATACAAGTAAATTAAGAAAAGTGTTAAAGTGCAAAGGGAAACGGCACATTCTTTTTTCACAAACTAGTGAACATAGATTTTATTACACTAAAATAAAAGAAGTGTATTAAAACTTTGAGAACCAGCATCTCCCCCTTTCTTTTTCGCGGGTAAAATTTCTAATATATATTAAGGAATTTTACACCAATATAGTTGATTATGTATTCTTTCCCTCTGTAAATCTTTAGTTTTACGCAGTTTTATGCAATGTTATGTTGACAGAAGTATGATGTATTATACATTGTTATGATTAAAGATCTACAACGACATATAGTTGTATAAAGTGTATCATTATTGACTAACATCGTTAAAAATTGTCCAAATACAATATTAAACAAGCAATGACAGTGACCGTACTTGGAATAACACAATGTACCTTACTACCTGTTACATAAACGATAAGAACGTGTAAAGATCACTGTAAAACATGATAAAAGGCAGTGGAGTGTTGCTAGTACAGTACTATATACTGTAAAACCTGTTAGTACTGCACTACTTGGTAGATAAGCTATAATGAGCTGTAGTTAGTATAGTATACTTGTAACGTACTTCCTAGTAAAGGATTAGTGACTCGCGACTTGTAAAGCACTTC